CTTATTTACCGAGTAAACAGTTAAATAATAATTGCAATTAATATCATTTTTAGCGCTCTCATGTATCATTACTGGGTAAGTAATCATTTACAATCAGTCAAATTGGAAATAAAAAGTGGTGTGATTTTTTTTTTTTTGGTCTGACTGTTAATCGTCCGACAGGTGCAGGTTACTATGATCTATTTTACAATCACAGCTGACTGTTACTTGTTAACTGACAAAGTGTTCGAAATGATTGGATTTTTTTCTAGCAGATTTTTAACAAAACTATTTATAAACATTAGCCAAAAAACATAAACAAAACTTGAATTAACTTTGAAGTAATACCGGAATAGGATTCTAAATTAATGACTTTGCGCTGTCATGATGAGAAGTTTCCTGTATAAGGATTGGCTCATTTTCTTTTTCATCTGACTATCATTGTTACGAATGACATCCAATTGTTTTGACGGTTAAAAAAGAGAATATTCTCTTCTTCTTTTTTTACAACCAAGTCATTCGTTTCTAGATCCACTACCTTTGATGTTCAATTTTAATTTAATTCAATTCAACTGACAATGTTAATATATTGTGTAAAATGGACAGGATATGTTGAAAGTGTATGCCTATACTTCGGCAAATGCTATCAAATTTGATTTTGGTATCATGAGACAAATCTCATTCTACCGAATCATGGTTTAAAAACAGTCACGGTTGTTGATTCATTTATCAACGAACAACTACTTGCCATTCAGATACATTTCGCCTGCCCTTTTGGCAGGGATCCCCATGCATTCCCCGTTTATCAATTATATCTGGATACACCACTGCACAAGTACACAATATTGCTTAATCCACACATCTTGATAGTAGCTAGGAGGTCCTTTTAATCATTGTTTCTTCCTTGAAAAATCCCTTTTCCTTCCGTTTTCAGATTTGAATCAACTGATCTCACACACGAACGTTTAGTTAGTATTCTCCGGAAGATACAAAGTTCCTCTAGCTCACGGATGGCCAACCTTTTAAAGCTCGCGGGCCACAGCTAACGATTGGCATAACTTGGCGGGCCGTAGCTAGTCTCCCCCCTCCCACACACACACACACACTCATGCAATACGTGTACACACCTGAAATTCTGCAAAAACAAACAAGCAAACAACAAGATAAGTGAGAAAAACAAATCAGGCTTATATTTAGTGTGATTTCTGTGGCTTGCACTTTTCTACTATGTTGTTAACCTCCATTACATACTCTGGTGAAAAAGTGGTCCACCTTTCTCTTCTATGAAGAAATACTTTAGAGACCAATCTGATTTAAAGTTTCTGCCTTCATCAGAAACTCTCCTTTTTCTTCGCAGGTCTCGAGGTCGTTTCCATGTTGGTTGTTATTTCAATCAAAATCAAGGACACAGCAGAAAGAATATCCTTGTACACTGTACATCTAATTGAACGCGGTGTAGAGGGAAGGGGACTGACTATAAAGTTTACGATTAAGATTCATGAGAAAATTGTACGGCGGGAGAAAAGAGTAAGTGTTGTAGGCCTATGTCATATTACACGGAAATTACAAACTGAAATTTACACGGCGAGTGATATTAATGCGGGTATTAATGTTATTAATACAATATAATGAGAGGGAATTTGAGGAGTCAGTGTATCGCAACAGTTGTTACTGCGTGCAGGAATTAGAAACTGAAATTTACACGGCGAGTGATATTAATGCGGGTATTAATGTCGTTAATATAATGTAATGAGAGGGAATTTGAGGAGTCAATGTATCACCAAGTAACGAGTCAATGCGTTGTGAAAGATGAAAACAAATTATGGAAATATTAGAGATAGCTGAGGGTAAATGTTTTACCCTACTTCATCGCTGCTATATGTGGCTGCATTTCATTTATGAAGTATTTTTTCACTGCTCCGCGGGCCGCACCAGAAGAGCTCGCGGGCCGCATGCGGCCCGAGGGCCGCGGGTTGGCCACCCGTGCTCTAGCTGATCATGTCCGATCGATTTCTTGTTTTAATTGAATGGCCAAGAGTGGCCTTGTCTGCGCATACGCGTAGCTGTGTGATTCCAACATTTTATCAAGACACAATATCAACACGAAATCTATATTTTAGTGGTACGTATTTGTGCAAAAAAGGTAAAATCTAATTAGAAAAGTCTAATCTAAGTAATTTCATTCACAAGCCTCGAAATGCCATCTTTCACGTCAAAAATCCCGAACTGCGTGTAAAGTAAGTGACTGCGCAGACATAAATGGAAACCTTTGTTTTTGCGATGTTAAATTGACACCACCGCCTTTTCATGTGAAAATCACATTGTTCGTCCTCGAATCTCGATGAGATTTCGGCAAACCTGCTCTTTAGAAAATAAGGATTAAGATGAGATAATACGATTAAAAAATTATTGTCAATTTCAAGTTAAATATTAGGTGAGCAGGAACTCCCCCCCCCCCCCCCCACCCCCGACCCGGCCCTATCATACACTTTGTATTTATGTATTGCATCAGGAGTAAAATCTTTAGCATGTTTAGTGTATAGTGCTGTTGATATCTTGTCATTGATTTATCAAATTGGGTTTTATTACCCCTAAAATCGGAAGCCGTCGATGGCAAACAAACGGAATAAAAGGTTAACCCGCGGTTTCCTATTTTGAGGATTCCAGACCCGTTTCTTAGCACGAACCCCGCAAAATCGTGACAAAGTGAACTCTTAAAGAGTTGAATGATGTAATGAATCTGAAACAATGTCATTTTATTTATTGTTTTATGATTATATTCAGGCATAATTTGGACTTCTTGTGTATAAAAGCTGATTTTTGTTGTAAAGGTGGAGATGACCTCGACAAATTAAAGATAAAGTTTGGTAAATAATATGATTGCATTTCGTAAAAGGAACTGACTGTAAGTTATTGGGAAAGGTTGATATTAACGTAGTACATTATAATGACTAATTATTATTAGGTCTTAGGAATAAATTGACTCTATGGGTGTGAAGTCACACTACAATGCAGAGTCTCGCAAACAGATTTGGACACACTGTACTGCACATAGTGGCATCAATATCTGGTCCAAATTCTAACATACACTGTTAATCGTCTGTTTGAAGCCAGGAAGGAATTAACTAACAGAATTAACGCCCTTCAGGTGCTAAACACACGATGTTACATTGCCACCATGATATTATCCTATACTTAGGAATACAGACTTATTAAGAAAACTCATAAATTATATTTCACCTTTACCCGCGTCCTCGACAATCACTTCAGGCCTTATCAAACGCATATACATAGGTGTATTACTTTGTCATAACATTCCTGCTTTTTAATATTATCCAGGGGCGTCTGGCGTCGATCCGGAGGGCATTCCTATCGTGCCCCAAGTCAATATACGATAGACGTTTCTGATTAATAAATGCCCCTGCCCCCCCCCCTCTCTCCCCACGTTTCCACATTAAATTTGCTGAAGCTATTCAAAGCCACTCGCCCCTCTTGCTGTCTTCTTTTAGTCTCTTGTGATATTGATGTAAAACTTTCAGACATCGTAACAATAATAAATATACGTTTGATATTCACTGGATGTAGTACTTGTTTAATCAGATGAGTGCCTATACACAGACTAACATGCGTTAGACTAGTTTACCATTGGAGTGAAAATCCTGCCGGATTTCTACGCCCAGTAAATCTTTTTAGGTGCGTTTCCTGAATTTCCTGTTATTGCTATCTCCGATCCTCCTGTTGAGTGCATGGGGTTGGAGGGGGGGGGGGGGGCAAATGGGGAGGCCAAAGCAAAGAGAGTGACTTGGTATTTCAGATTTGACTGTTTACCTGAGTCATAGTAGATTTATTTGATTTTCGTTTTAAAATACCCTCAACCATTCTAACCCACTGCTATATATCCCCTTCACTCACTTTCTGGGAGGAGGAAGTAATACGAATATCTGGTCATGATTTTGTTCTTCTTTATGTTGAATGTTTCTTGTATTATGTCTATTTTTCGAATAAACATGATTGTAGATCATAATGTGACCAAAAAACAGTGTTCGTTGTCAGTGTAAATGACGAGTGGACTTCAATACATTTTATTCGATCGTCGGTACAAGTTCAAAGGGGGTACACCCTTAGAATTAAGGTGCTGAGTTGAGGAATTGTAGAAATTGTAAAGATTTCTCAAGATCACCACTTCTGCACTGCTAGTTATATCAAGTTCTATTCATGTATAAACAAACCAATGCAAAATGTTCATCAAACAGTATTTTGATTCATTTTTTTAAGGAGAGTACTGAAGTCCGTGCAAAAAGGGGATATCAATTTCAGAGCTTAATTCAGATTTTAAAATAATTTTGGGTTTACATATTCCCAGGGTACCACCAAATGGTGTGTAAAAAAAACTTCGAGATTTGATTTGCCACGTAATATGATCATGACTTGGGTTTGTGTGGCTTTAAGATGAAAAGCCAAGTTATCAAGCAACGAAATCCTATACTCAAATAGCTAGCTTCATGAATATTAGAAGTGACAGAAATGAGTTTTATGGAGATAAGGCGAGTTCATGATCGAGGCTTGTGTCAAATTTTATTTCCTTTGGAAAGTTTTATCAACCAAATGCACCGCGTCATTAACATTTATTACAGATGAATATAAGGTAGTCCAATGATAGTCTAGAAAGAACAACATGATCTCATTCTCAGCTTTGCTCTTGATATAAACATAATTCTTTCTTGATTTACGCCTAGTCTTTGGTGACTATTTTCTAAGCGTCCTTACTTTTCCTAACAGTTGTACAATTTGTAATGAAGGTCCGACTTTCATGATATACATTCACTCTCTCTTTATCTCACCAATGTCGTTATTTCTGTCATTTGGAGCCACTAATTTCAGTTCATCTGTCCATATTGCTATGGCCACTTGAACTGTTAACTCCTAGTCATTTGTAAAATTATGTACAACTTTGATGGAGATGATATAGTATTAACATGTCAGAAACATTTTGATTGAAGTGTTTTTACATTTACTTTCAGGGAGGCTCATTCGTTCGAGCAGTCTCTCGCGGCTGCAGGACGAAGAAGATGGTGTTCATTATCAGAGCCAGGAGGGTGACTACCAAAACCCATCTACACCAAACGGTTCAGTGCCTCACCCTGGTCACCGGTACTACACCCCACAGCCAGCCAAGAGGAAGGCTTTAAAACCTAGTCCATCCGCTAAACCTCAACCCTCCGCCAAACCTCAAGTTTCGCAGAAACCTCAGACACCCCCTGTCAAGGAAAATGGCTCCAGACAGCCCAAGCTAACTCTGACCATCCCGAAGCGAACAGGAACCTTCGGGAGTCCGAGCCCGGACTCTGGGGAGCAAACGGGATCGATTGATGGGAGCTTTGACAGCGGGAATGGAAGCGCGAGTGCAGGAATACTGACCAAACGAGCCCTGAAGCCACCTAGTGCACAAGCCAGGACTGGTGCCGGCAAGACTAGTAGCATCTCGAGCACACCTAGCACTGCAGGAAGTGTCTTCTCACCGGAAGGGCTCCGAGTTACGCCGGAATATGACGGGGACGAACCCATTCAACCCAAGCGAAGGGTAAAATGATTATTTTAAAATTCAGTTTTCCATTCACGGAATGAATTTATGAGATAATAAAATCATTTCAAACTTTGTATACAGAGAATTTAATTTTCATAGGCTGATTCAGCTTATCTTTTACTGGTTGAAATTTTTATTTTATTCATTACTTTGTAGTAATTTTGTAGATTTGTAGATTAATTTAATCTGGGATTTCCTCTTCAGTTATCGAACTGCAATCACAGAGTGCCCTATGTAAAAAAAAAAAAAAAAAAGCAATATAAGTCGTTGTGAATGATTTCATTGGGTATTCCTAGTTTGCTCCTTACCCCTGTTGAGGACATGACATCAAGTTAGTCTACATTAGCCTGTCTCCTAGGGAATAAACTCATTTTCATTTACGTCTGTAACATGACTCACCCAACCCAATGTCTTACCTGTGCATGTATTTAGGGTGAATCAGTCAGTTGCCGGATACCCTGCAAGGACCCAATGTTGAACTAATGTTGAGCTAATAAACAGAGCCAATACCATGTGTTCTGGATGGGGAAACCGATCGAGAACAACATTATGTTACATTTACTTCAAAACATGTCTACATTAATTTGCATGTCAGTTTTGATATGCTAAAAGTATGCACGCAAGTATTACGAACTAATGATTATCTAAACTCGTTTAAGAGAAACTCAATCGCATACTAAGAGAAATGGTAATTGGATAATTTGAACTTTTCCCCTGAAGATCTGGACCCCGTCTTATAAAGAGTTGCGATTGGTTTGAATTGCAGGTACTCTGATCAGGGCTTACATACAAGTGCTTCTCTCTAATAACACAGAGATACGAATAATATCAATCTCAAATAAAATTTTAATCGATTTGAATCCATCGCACTGGTCAGTATGTTTGATAGAGGGCTAATCATATTTGTTGGCTTTGTTCAGAGGGCCGGTCAATGAAATGGAATAGATCGTTTGTATACAAAAAGTCGAGGGCTGTATTGCCGTCCTCTAACGCCCTTCATCAGGGTTTTTTTTAAGACAAGAAGCCCCATTATAACATACCATCATTCCCCGTGTATCTGTCTTTGCTAGGCTCCATCGAAGCCCCCTGTTGGTCGTCGGAAGTCAGACCCCTCGTCTAACTCTCGAACCAGACGAGGTGAAAGACAGCAAAGAAATGATTCTGGTGATGAAAACACGAAGCCAAGTGAGTTAAAACCATTTATAACAGAGAGGTGTATGCTCACTTAGTCTCTTTTATTCGGTCATTGCATGAACACTGATCTTTGATCATTATAGATATTTTTAAATCTGATTCTATTCTGGCTAATCTGAAAAAGATATTTGAAGCATGACAATATTCCATTCTCATATCCTGTAATAACTTTCACTGCAATTAATTAAACCACAATTTCTCAAATATAGTACTGTTTTGTTTTCATTTAAGCGCAGTGTATTTCTTTTCATATTTTTCATATCGAGAAAACACATCAAATAGCGATTCCGGTCATAAGTATACAGTGAAATATTATTGTACGCAATTTCTTTTTCGCAGTTCACCTTACATACGAAGCATGTTTCGAGTCTACAAATAAACTCTTTCGAGACAATAGCTCATAAAAGATTTTAAAAATGCACCTTTCATCTCCTGGCTAACTGCTTCCGTAACCGATAGCTGCATGCGTACAAGTCACTCCATTGTGACTGGGGGTCAGTACACGACTCGAAGCTGTACCATTATAGTCTCATGACGTTCATCGTATAGACGTTTTATGATTTTGCATGTGCATGTATTCTGTATTTAATTCATCATCCAATCAGGTCGCTTGAATGTCACGTCAATCAAGAGATCGCCATTTACATCCGGGCCTTTGAGAAAAATGTCGTCATTCCGGGTGAGACATGTACATGTACGTGGGAAAAAATACTTTTAGATGTCTGTTAGAATTATGAACCTTTATAATTTCATGTGACTTCATTATCGGTATAGAGATCTATATTGAATGAAATCTATGACTAAATACCTGATCTTCCTCTCTTGTATTCCTTAATTTTACATTTCTTTCACCTGCCATATTCCTTTATATTACTCTCTTCCATTATTCATATCTGTACATTTTCTCTCATCATTTTAACCATTATGTTATTCTAATTAAGTAAGCACTTAAATGTAAAACGTTTTAGAATGAATAGCATCATAAAGATTGGACAAGATAGACACTTGTTTCGAAGTTAATGTGGTATATAAATGAAATTGAATAAATGTCTTTGTAGGTCACACTCGTCTTACTTACCCACATGCAGCTTAATTTGACATTTTCAGGAAAAAATTCTAAGCCAATTTTTAATTTTTCTTTTTTTTTATTTGAAGCATCCAGAATCACAAAAAACTACAGTGTTAGATATGACTATTGATAATTAATAAGTTTGTATATTTTTACATGTTGAATAGCACGAGGGCTACTACATTGGAATGATCAGTAAACAGATTTGTTTTAAATCAAACTATATATTTATATATTCGAGCACTCGAGAGGTGTTGGAAGGAAGGCATGTGGGCCAATGTAATTTAGTTGACATATTCCTTTCCAGACCGCCTGGTCGGGTACACATGAGTATATTGAATGTGCCGAATTTATGATAAGAAATTATCAATATTATTATTGTATCACAGAATTATCTCGCAATAGAACACTGGAAGGTGGAATATCACCGTCAGAAATGGAAAAATACAGTGTGAGTCGTCACCGTTATTTCACTCCTCAGCCTAGCCGACGTAAGTTCAGTTTCCGAGATGGTCAAGGTCGAGTGGTCTCAGGGAATAGCTCACCTGCTGCTACTCTGCAGCATCCTCCTCCTTATACCAGGTAGGCATCTTTTTCCGAAGTGTGGTGGTGGTGGTGGTGGTGGTGGTGGTGGTGGTGGTCAAGGATCGAATCCCTGAATCGAATACGTCTTGGATTTCCCATTGTCCACCCAGGTGATGAAAATGTGAACCCATTAGGAATAAATTTCCGTAATATCAGAGCGCCTTATGAGGTTAGCTCTGCCAAATCCGGGCTACTAATAGTACTGTGCTTGGAAAAGTAATATAAAATTCTATATAAATGTTACTTTTAGTACTATATAAATCTTTTAGTCAATGTTGGAATCTTCTTGAAGACCACATGTTCTGACTTTAGCGAGTGGTAACTTGTTCATAGAAGAACTGTTGTAGCAGAGCTTTGATATTAAAAGGAGATCCCACCAAGTTGAAGCTAGTTTCATAAAGTGATTGATAAGGGTTTGAATTGTTTTTGCCTTTGGGTATGACTATCAGTCTCGCCTTTAATTCAGTTACCGTTGATTCACAAGGAAATAATCCAAAAGAAGACAAATTTACATTTAGAAATCAATGTGATTTCGAGTCACAACTTCGTGTACAAGCTGCACGTTTCCTCACATTAAAGTATCTTTTAAAAGGCACATTTCAATATTTTGTTTCCTGCGCTACCGCCGCTCTGTGTAATTTCATGTTTTCCAAAAACGTTAATTCGATTAGTGGATTGACATTAAGTAATACTTACCAGCCGCAGCTTGCAACATGATAAGGAATTATTTTGGCTTTTCATTTAGATAGCGTCAAAGAAATCAGGAACGCAACCTTTTAGCACGTAGTCGCCCACAGTAAAACTAAATCAACCATGGTGCAAGCAATAAATAAATGAACATAGATTGCATGGAGGTGGTGGTTCTGTTGCTATGTCATGATGGTTGCTATGTTACGAAGACTGCGCGCTTATTATTTTCTTCTTATGTCTGTCGAACCGATGTTTTAATCTGTATTCATATCGTATGATTTGACTAGAAGATAATTCAATTTATCTTCCTCTAATTCACGCCCTCACTAATGACGCAAATCCCTGGCCAGTCTTGTAGTCAGTTACAGGAATATTTTCAGGTTGGCAACAGCAGTATTAAGTCTTCACGGATAGAAGCCGTTATAGAAACATGTTTATTTTGTATCTTGTTCTTGGCTAAAAGTTCTAGGCATGTCGTTTATTTGACTTGTTGCTTTCAATATTAAATATTGGAACATTCGCTTTAGGGTTTTAGTTCAGACAGGATACTTTTTGTCTTCAAAGACGCTTGACACCGACGAGCAGGCATTGCAAACTTAAACGATTGCCTTTCCTTTTCAGATGTATTAAAATACCAAGTTTCTACTCCTATGCTCAGGAGTACAGCGGAAATTTACTTACACTCTGCCTGTAAATAATTTGATGGAGTTTAAATGAGAAAATTCGTTGATCGTTTGATGTCGTGTCAGGACTGGCAATTTTTGCCTCGACTTTGCTGATCCAAATACCGTCATTACACATTTTTTTCGTTTACTAAACGACAATATCAGCCATTAACAATGGTTATACCTACACCTAGGTCACCCGTGGAGCGCCTTGCAAACCAGATGCGGAGTAATAAACAGCTTGATCGACCACCCAGTTCTGAGACGATAAGTCCAGAGACCACTCCCGTGAACTCACCGGTGAAGAAACCTAGGACACCGACTAAAGCAGCACCATCTCCTCCTAATCAGGCAGCTAAGACCGGGCCAGAGCCTTATGACTTCGTCACTGATGACGGTTCGTTTCATAATTTCTTTTGTGTAGGACCTTTGGCTTTTCGAAATATCGAAGATGTGTATTTTCATTAAAAATAGCGGGAACACAAACGCAAAGGCTTCCAAGAAATCAATTTCGATCGCCTATCGTATATAATTTTCAGATTCAGAAATTCATCAATGTGATGTTCACAAATTTGAATAGGAGATGGATGAGGGTATTGAAATTGACTTCTGGTAATATGGAGATAGACGTTTTTGAGATTGTAATGGGGATGATTTGAAAACCTAAATCTTGCATACATTATGTAAATTTAAGAACGCTTTGCAAAGAGAGCCATGTATTATCTGAAAACACATTGTTCAACAGGACAAAGACTGGTGAAGCAATATGAACATTTATGCCGCAATGCTGACAAACTTTGTAATATTTCGTGGGAATGTGAAGTTTGTTCTTGTCAATGATTAAATGTCAAATATGATTCATGCTTCTCCATTTGGAATCTGAAGCCATGTTCTATAAGTTTCTACAAGAGGTTGAATCGAAATTACTAATTGAACTAGATATCGTGCTGGACATATATTGACAATACTTAACTTGGAACTTTAAGTTTTGTAAAAAGCTTGAACTAACGGACCGTATTATTAAAATTGACGTAATTATTAATTTTTTTTAAATATTTTGAAAAACAATTTGCTTTCAATATTAATGTAATGACTTATCCGAATGTGATATATGCCAAATATTTTCAATTATCACATATAAATCAAATGACTTTAATCCCTTACCATGCCCCCCCCCCCCACCCTTACCCTTTCTCTCTGCAGAAGTCAATGTGGCTCGTAAACACGTAGGCGGTGCACGTCGATGCCGTTCGATGAGTGGAGGATCCATGCAATCCATAAAGCGAAGGCCCCTCCCGACGGTTCCCCATCGCCCTCGATCAGGTTCCGCATCAAGGGCAGACAAGGACATACCGACCGTGAGTAGCTTAGCGTAGGATTAGAGATTCAATCTAAGCCAATGGAAATCGAAACCATATGACTGTTCTTCCTTCTGGAATACTCAAAACTGAATGACGAAGCGATATTTAACTATTAGGCCAATACTGTCACGCAGGTACTTAGGTAGGACGGAAGGAATCAACATCAGAGGGTTGCCATTTCTCAATAAACAGTTGGAGCCCTGTGTAGTCCTGTTGCACGTATGAAGCTGGAGAAGTTTTGGTAATGTTGAGAAGACAATTTCAAAGGGGTTGGTTATTGATCCTTGGAAAAGGGATGGTTATTAAAACTGTGATTTTGACGTCAGAGATTATTTAGGTTGAGCAATTAACACACGTATTGAAAATGAAGCGTTTCAAAATAAAGTTTACAAGAACACTTGATCATTGAATCGAGCACTCGGTTTCTTCTCTTCTTCTCGAGTTTTGTCTACCTGTGTAAGGAATTTCACTCTTGTTGATTTTTTAGATTTCCAGCAAAGCAATCCAACGAAAGCGACGAAATCGCCAATCAGCGCCGGCTGGCCGAGTGGCTAGCATCCTTATCGACTCCAACACCTCTCTTCACAACGCCGCAAATAATTCCGGAGCGTCGTCTGCCCCGGGTGAGAAAAGGCGGGAAACCTTACGTGAGGAGCTCCTGCGATCCTTGGTGGACGGTACGTCCAAGAAGGACAGTTCAACCCTTCCTATCAAGCGGACTGATCTAGGAGAAGGTATGGTCAGTGATGGTGATAGGACCAACAGTCTGAAACAGGTGGAGAACTCTTTGAAGATCAACATGGTTCGACAGAAGTCGGGTTATGATGAAGCGGACACGGCCCCTCGGTTCTCACCACTTCCAGAAAAGGTAATAACACAAATGAAGTAGTAGCAGTAGCGGTAGGAGTAGTAGCAGAAATAGAAGTATTCGAAATGGTAGTAGTAGTAATATAAGTAGTAGAAATAGAATTGGTAGTAGTAGTAATATAAGTAGTAGAAATAGAATTGGTAGTAGTAGTAATATAAGTAGTAGAAATAGAATTGGTAGTAGTAGTAATATAAGTAGTAGAAATAGAATTGGTAGTAGTAGTAATAGCAGAAATAGAAGTAGACGAAATGGTAGTACTATAGTATTAGAAATAGTAGTAGTAGTAGTAGTAGTAGTATAAATAGTAGTAGTAGTAGTAATAGTAGTGGTATTAGTAGTAGTAGTAGTAGTAGTAGTAGTAGTAGAAGGAGTAGTAGTGGTAGTATAATGGTAGTAGTAGTAGTAATAATAATAATAATAATAATAATAATAATAAACAGTAGTAGAAATAATAGCAGTAGCAGTAGTTGCAACAACAGAAATAGAAGTGATGGTTAAACATTAGTAGAAGACAGTAGTTATAGACTTTATCGCATAACTTGTTTTGCAAGAGACAAATACAAATCAAAAATTAATTATGTCATTAAATTCTGTTTCACCTTAAACCCTCTTTCAGAAATCTTTCTCTAACGGAGGCAATACACCCTCTCCACCCTCAACACCGAACGGTTCACCATCGAGACAGCATCCCAGAAGGAGGCGAAATAAGAGTTCTTTGAGTAGCTTGGTGTCCATGCCCAAGAGTCTTGTGGCTAGCAACGAATTCCTCAACGACATTCTGCTCAGTGATCGTGGTTCACATAAAAAGGTATGCGGTTTTCTAAAGTCACAAGAGTCTCATATTTTTTAGTTGGTGTTTAGTTAGTGTTGGCAATATGTCAATCAAAAAAATCGTTCCTGGTCCCAAAAATGAGTAGTGTAGTTTGTGACTAAATCTACCCCCATATCTCCAAACCGTCTAAATCTTTCTAATTTGAATTGATGTCTTTGGCCGTTTTTCCTATGATTGACTATATCGTTGCCCTTGTCGAGTCGGAATTCATTTCTAAAATTTTTAATTCGAAGCCAACAAATTATTATTGTGATCGTTCAGGTTTGCGATGATAAGAAATCATAAATCGGAGTGAAGTATAATATGGAAGAACTTTTTATTTCAGGCCTTTACGAATAGGAGGAGCTCGAGGAGGACGATATTCCACAATATCTTTTTTGATAATCATGTATCTTAAATAAAATATAAATATTCTACTCTTGATGGGTTTTTAATTCCTCTCTTCTGGCCATCCCTTTTTACGCTCTCATCTTTTCCGCTCTCCGCAGCTCAAGGCCATCGTTGGGTTCCTAGTCGGTCTCATCCTCGGTGGTCTTCTCTTCTTAGGACTCTACTACGGCCTCGACTACCCGATCTATCCGGCTCTCATCATCGCAGTGATCGGGACTCTCTTCATGGCACTTTGCCTCGCGTTCACTGGTAAGAGTTCTACTTAAAGCCCGTCTGTACTAGTTTGGCCAGGGGGGATTAGACCTCCCTGAAAGGTCACTGACTCGTGGTTATCTCATCAAGTCGGCTCTCAATTAACATAAGAAAAAGAGGATCATGGGGGACCATGAGGCACTGATTAGGCATTGTTTGCTATATAGAGGGCGCAAGTAGCCATAAGTAGTGCAGAGGGGCTTTAATACCTTCCTTAGTCACTTCGACAAGACCGACATCAGGGCATCGTTTCAAGCAACCGTCATACGTACAAGTTCACCGACGTCCCAATGGAACGTGTGTGTTTCAATTAACACACGCTTCAATGGGCTATCGGGGAACTTATGACGGTTTCGTGAAGCGCTGCCCAGACCGTCAGTGGTCAGTACAATAAAAACGTACCTTATCCCCCCCCCCCCCGAATGGTTAAGAATTACTCGCTTTGGTGAGAGATTTAAGTTACTTTTGGCGGTGTGACTGAGGAATAAGCATTATTATGATTGTAAGAGTTTGGGGAAACAGACACAATACGCCATCCTTATCTCAGTTGTGCTCTTTTCTACTGATACTCAATTTATTCCTTGTTATATATATTTGTATTGAGTTGATAATAATGATGAATATGAAGAAGTGAAAAGAAACCACAAAATACAAACAATTGTCTACAGTTCTCATTTGGGAAACGTGACGTATCGAGCAATTTATGAACAGGAGGCGGAATACACAGAAGGGAGTTTGATATATCTGGGCAGCCCTGTTTACGAAGACCAATTGCTAGTTTTACTCACCCCCTCCCTCCCTCCCTTCCATTGTTGGCCTTCAACACGAGGGAGGCGGTACCTACACCGCCACTGACTCCTACTTATGCTACTCACACATATCGTTTTTATTGAATTGGGTTAAATACCCCATTACATGTCTGCCTTTTATACACTTTAATTGTATTGTACATTATCCGAACGCATTTGGGTGTTACGGTAAGTCGCTATTTTGTTGCCAATGATGCTCTTTTTGTTGTTTCATTGGCAACTCCGTCGGTAATAATTAATTAATTATTAATTCGTATGTTTTATTTGGCAGTTCGTGCAAGGTGTGTTGCAGCCCTGATGGTGCCAACAATCTGCACCTCCAGAGGGCGGGCTGCCTTCCTGACCTTCATCGTTACCCTCCTACTACGCGGACCTATCCACAACATCTACCTGAACTCCAACGAAGTTTCTGACTCCATGAGCTGCAGTGCACAGGTATATTATAGATTTAGCCAATTAAGTATGCTTCAATAATACTGCATCATGGAATATCTTTATACAAAATATACCAGACACGATCAACACCCATATTGGTCCGTGTTCATCGCTAAGGTATCACTCATTTGCACTGTTAATAATATATCTTATAAGGTTGACATCATGTTTAATAGTTTAAATGATTTTGACCACATCTGGCCTGTGTCCATGTGGTCAAATTCAGATTGTTTAGCATATTAAGAAAGAGTGTGCTGTAGCGGGACCCCTATGTTTAAACAATTTTTCAGTTTTTTAAAAAGCTATGGTTCATATTCGAAATAATATGATAGACAGAACAGATTTGCTCCTCTCGAAGCTCTCTTGTTTTCCATGGTTTCGATTAGTTTACGTCGATTTTATTTTTTAAAGTGAATGATCGATACAATTTGCCGTAATGTCGGTCAGAACCATGTATCGGTTTTTGCGTCGTAAATAGAAGGAAATAAACATTCATGTATATTGATTATAAATCATCAAAGTGCTAACACCTTTCATTCTCTCTCTCTCTCTCTCTCTCGCTCTCATTCTGCCAACCTCTATCCAGCTCGCCTACAACCAGACCCGTGAGATCCAGGAGGCAGCTCAACGTGTTCTTGATGCATATGTCAAAGGTCTTCTGACCAGTGTAGGGCGGATCCAAGGTGCCGTAGCTCAGGTTCAAGAGGTCTTTCAACCGGTGGAAGATGGCCTCGGTATACTCAATGAAGGACTCGACGTAAGTTGCATTTTGTTTGACATGCTCTTTGAATATCCTTTCTCGAATGTTTTATCTGACTCTTGCTATGCACCCAAATTGCATTATTTGAATACATTGATCAGATTGCTGTTGGCATGTAAAGCATGTAATTACTATCTTACCCGTCAAACCTAAATTCTCTTAGCTCCTTTACTCTTAATGGAAACAATGTTTTGTGTGACCTAATGACATCTTAAGCTATATCCTTGCTATCTTGATATCTTGAACATACCATTTCCCTCGCAACCCTAATCGTTATGAATGAAGGTGCAATGAAACCATTTGATGGTCATGTACGAGATAAGGAGGCAATGTTCTTTTTCTAGTTCCTATTCTGTTTCCAAATTCCCATTCCCACTGCATCGTGCTCTGTCATTGTAATCCTACCTAAACACCCCCTCCACCCTTTCACCACTACAATTTCCTTGACGAAGAACCAGTAGCATCGGCAGTTGCTTCGGAATTTTCGCGTTCAGGTATAACGTAACATAGGGGGCAGAACATTACTGTATACGCACACATGATTTTAGTTTAACATTAACTTGATCAATGTCGGTAGGTGTTTTCCGCGGTCGATTCAACTCCGGAAACAATCAGTTTAAGGCAATAGCGCGACAACCAAAGACAGTCCACATTGTCTTACAGAAGACCACTCGCGAAACGCAACTAAAAGCATAAGTTAGTGCCGAGGACCAAAAACATCTCGTTGGTTTCTCCTTGTAGCAAGTCTCCGACGCGCTCCGAGAGGCTGCAGATGGTTGTACTGATATTATTGGATCCACTCATAGGTCATGTGTTGACAGCCTTGATCGGGTGCGTTTAGACTGTGTCGAGTTCTTGTCACAGCAGAATCTTTTCGAATCTCTAGGTAAGAGCCAATCTTCTACACATTCGAACATCCATGCCTCATTAGTGTTTATATATGCAGATTCCAAGTATAATGAATTGCCAAATATCAATATCATTTTAAAAGAGGATAAGGTAAATTCTGTAGCCGCTGTAAGGCTGATGGATTGCTTTTAGCCTTGTTCATGGAAATATCATGTGCCTTAAAACACAAATCAGTTTTGAAAGCTGTTTGTATGATCGAAGTTTCGCATTTGCACTGGTAGTCGACCATAAATGACAAGTAGAAAAGGGATTTTTCAGCAACAGACATTATTATTATCTCTGGTCAGTTTGTAAAAATACTTCTTTCGTATAAAGTCTCACATTTAGTTTGTTTCTCATTTTCTGAAAGCCAGATAGGTCATGAATGCTATACATTATCACGTATAATCAAATTATCCTTAAACATTCACCACGTAGGATAATTGATTTCACTTTCTGTGAAACAGCTATCCATCCGTAATATATAAACATACATATCACATAATAATTACAATAAGTCAGTCTACGTTTGATACACAAATGGTTTTACCTCTAATTCCGTACAATGTGTTTCTTGTAGGTGATGTCTGCAACATCTTCGACGCACGAGGCTTGTGTGCCATCCTGGATATCGACAGTGTTTGTGAGGTACCGGCCTATGTGGACAATGCTGTAGCGGATTCTCTTGCAGGCACACGAAGGGCTATACAGTCCGTCATCAATACGTTTTCTGCAGATGTGGACATTTCCCGTCAATTTGAGACCAACGTCAATCAGAGTACGACCGTTGAGCGAATCCAGGAAGCGATTCAACAGGAGCTGGATGAAGCATACAGCAAAATTGACTGGGTCCTAGCTATTTCGGACAAGCTCCTGGCCCTCACTTTCGTCTGGCTTTGCATCAAGTCCTACATGTACCACTCAAGCTATCGCTCCAAGGATTCATTTGATAACCAATACATTACCGCTCAGTTTAAAAGATTGGATTCTAGTCGCAAGGAACGTGGAGCGTCTCATATTCTGCCTCTCAAGAAGCATGAAAAGAATCACCTTATCGACGCCACCGCTCTGCGTCTTAGCAGAACCGAAAAACAGTACCTTACCCTGGGACTTTCAAGGGTTCTCCTTCACATCATCATTGCAGGAATCCTTATGTTCATGGATTTCGGGCTGTACTGGCTATTGTCAAAGATTCAAGAACATGGCCGTTATGAGGTTGAGGTGTCAGGGGGAACAGGGGCTAATGTAGACATAGGAGGAACAGGTATTGTCTCGGAGTTTGTCCGTCTTCTATTTGCCGAGGGCTTCCAGGCGTCCACCGCCTTCAACACCACCCTCAACACCACAAAATGTCTGCCACAACCGAGCCCACCAAACAACAATTTGGCTGTTGCTATAGGTTTCCTCTACGCCACCACCATTATCATGGTGTTGTCTCAGGCGTACGCGCGCCGGCTACTCCGTTACATCGCTGCCTACTACTACCCCGAGCGCGAAGTAGAACGCACCAAGTACCTGTACGGACGCACCATGCAGAAGAGACAAACGCTAAAGAAGATGTTGCGAGATGCAGTGAAAATAAACAAGAAAGAACGAGACGCAAATGAACGGATCAGCATAACGGCATACCTTGCCAGAAATATTCCTTGTTGTAAATCACTCTTGAGCTTCTGTGGGTTTAAAAAGTTACAGTGTCTTGGCTGTCGTTGCCCGGATGACGGGTTCCTTGCTTACTGCTCGGATGGGGAATGTGACGGAGTGTATTGCGAGGAGTGCGCATGCACATTGAAAGGAAAGTGTATCATTTGTGATGATATAATAAGCCTAGGGCAGAAACCAGAAGAAGCTGAACACCAATTCTAGTGTGTTTTCGCTAGTTTATAACTAAAGACATTCGGAAACATTAAACTGCGATTAATCTACTAGATACGGTATTTCCTAAGTTTGTCAATCCGTGCAAATGATTTCAAGACAATATGATGGTGTATCTGTTTTTATTCATTTCAAATTTGATGAAATGCTAATGCAGATACTTGATTAAAGCCTTCAAGATTAAATAAATTTAGGCAAAACATTCATATTTTGGTTGAAAAGAGATAATAGCGAAAAATAGAATTACCATGGAGTGTTTGTTTTTCTATTTATTGTAATCCATTTGAGGAATCATTTAAGAAAATTGAAGTCATTGATACGTAGTGTATTGAAGAAATAATACGGAAATAAAAAGGGGATGTACTAACGTACTGCTCTTAAATTATTTGTACTCACTTAGCAAGAAACGTATTAAAGTATTATTTTTAAATTACTTGTGCCATCCTAGTACTATGAAAGCTGTACTGCACTTCGAATATTTAATAAGAAAGTAACTTAAGTACTACATTTCAATAACTTTACTTGGTAAGAAAGTAACTTAAGTACTACATTTCAATTACTTTATTTGGTAAGAAAGTTACTCAAGAACTACATTTCAATTAGTTTACTTTGTAAGAAAGTTACTCAAGTACTACACTTCAATTACTTTACTTTGTAAGAAAGTAACTTAAGTACTACACTCAAATTACTTTACTTTGTAAGAAAGTTACTCAAGTACTACACTTAAATTACTTTACTTGGTAAGAAAGTAACTTAAGTACTACATTTCAATCACTTTACTTTGTAAGAAAGTTACTCAAGTACTACACTTCAATTACTTTACTTGGTAAGAAAGTTACTCAAGAACTACATTGCAATTAGTTTACTTTGTAAGAAAGTTACTCAAGTACTACACTTAAATTACTTTACTTGGTAAGAAAGTTACTCAAGAACTACATTGAAATTTGTTTACTTTGTAAGAAAGTTACTCAAGTACTACACTTCAATTAGTTTTCTTTGTAAGAAAGTTACTTAAGTACTACACTTCAATTACTTTACTTTGTAAGAAAGTTACTCAAGAACTACATTGAAATTAGTTTACTTTGTAAGAAAGTTACTCAAGTACTACACTTCAATTACTTTACTTTGTAAGAAAGTTACTCAAGAACTACATTGAAATTAGTTTACTTTGTAAGAAAGTTACTCAAGTACTACACTTTAATTATTTTTCTTTGTAAGAAAGTTACTCAAGTACTACACTTCAATTACTTTACTTGGTAAGAAAGTTACTCAAGAACTACATTGAAATTTGTTTACTTTGTAAGAAAGTTACTCACTCAAGTACTACACTTCAATTAGTTTTCTTTGTAAGAAAGTTACTCAAGTACTACACTTCAATTACTTTACTTTGTAAGAAAATAACTTAAGTACTACATTTCAATTACTTTACTTTAAAAAAAAATGTAACATAATATGTACTACACTTCAATTATTTACTTAGAAAGAAAGCTGATTAAGTAACTATGATGTTTTGTTCCATCTTAGGAAGGGAGTTACTAAAGTACTATTTTTTAATCATATGGGTTTTCTTTTAGAAAGGTACTTACATTTTTGTTTACTTCTCTTAGATTATATAAGCGCATCCTTTATCAAATCATTTTGTTCTCAGTTACTGAAACATTTACTAATGTACTAAACAATTTCGTGTCATATAGTAACTACTGTATTTGCCGATTAGAATTAGAGAGGAACTATGCAGAAGTAGAAAGACTTTGATGAACTATTTATACAATTAAGTTTATAAACACGATAGGTCTACGTGTTGTTTTCCTTTCAGACCTTTCCATTATATACTATTAATCTCTGCAATCGAAGATCTTTGAAGATTTATTAATCTGGAATATGATTAGAACGTTACAAAAATGAACATATAGAAAATGGAAACGGTGATTAACTCTTGCTGTATTATAATAGTTTGTACAAAGCAGGTATTTTGATTCTTATACATGTATATTTTCAATGCAATTTCAAATGATATATTATCTCCATGTACATATTTCTTTTTTTGTCACATGACTTTTGAAACTGATAATAATGAATTAAAGGAAGTACGTTGGCCAGTATGCCGTATAGTGGAAGAAATTAGTCCAGTCAACGTATTTTTTGTTTTATACATGACCTAACAGAACTTTACAACTTCAGAACAACTTATTAAACTAATGATCTTATTCATTTTAATGAATTACAAAAGCAGTACCTTACGAAAACTCGATGTTGATCCATTTTTGGACATCGTTTGCGGTTGGTTCACATCATTTGTGTGACTACCTTTTAGTTGTGTGCTGTAGTGTTCTGATTCATTTATTGGAAGTTTATTTGGAACTAATGCATTATCAGTGATTAAAGGAGTAAAACGATGCAGTGCTGAAATAAAATATTCTGGTTTTGCATAAATGTAGCTAAGCTACTTGAATATTGTTTGAATTGTTTGACGCTGTTGTTTGAAATTTTTGAAATGATTATAATTATACAAAGATGACCCTAAGTCGATCGTGTCAAATTTGTAGTTACAGATTAGTTAATTTAATTACTTATTATTCCTAAGTTTCATTTAAGATGTTCACACTTGTACAAGCATTGCTTTTTAGTGGACTCTCTGTTTTCAACATGTATTTCTTGAATTTGTTTTAAATGCTTATAATTGATTTGTAATGTTTTGTTGGAAACATGAATAAATTTGAAAAATTGAAATTTGAATTTGTAATGTTTCATGATGGTTGGTTCTTAGATTTGGACATGGATAAGGCAGAAACCACGCTTTGTACGCATGATGCATGTGTTTTTATTAAAGGAGTATGTATATCTTACCTTACACAAATACAGTTACAATTCAGCTACAATAGCAGCACCCTCTGATCTGCCGAATACCCGTAGGTGGATGCAAATCTGCACCCCAACTGCACCCTTATTTCTTAGTGTGTACACATCGGAAGGGATACAAAAGAAAAGTTATTCATAACTACAATTATGTTATTTCATTACATGTTACATGCTATTTCAGTCTAGGTACTACGATAGATAATTCATTTTGAATTTTATCAAGATTGATATGACTAAACTGCTTTCAGATATAGTGTATGTTTACAAATAATAAAGACTCCACGTTCTAAAAAAAAAGAGCACAGTTTCAAGTTAATTTATTCGTAAACCATTCATAAATAATGCTATTCCGTCGTCATCTAATGATACTGCTGCTGATGATGATGACGATGACGATGGTGGCGGTGGTGCTGATGCCGAAGATGGTGATGCTGATGATGCTGCTAATGATAATGAATATGTGTTATTGCATAGCGCATGGCATGTGCACTGATCGACGAGAGCATGTTGTCAATATTATCACATACCTGAACCCAGTCATTTAGCACAGACAGGCTGTTCTTGTATACACTGTATATGTTCGGTCTAATGCGTCAAAATACTAGTCCGTATTCTATTAATTCTGTTCTGAAATCACATATAACAAAAGAAAAACTTAACCCTCAGCCTAAATTCCTTTGCTAAGCCCAAATTTGCACACAAACCTAAATCCAGCATCGGTTTTCCTTTTTCACAGTAAACAGCCATTGAGTGGATATAACTTTGCTATGTAAAGCGAATGTAAGTGTGGATTTCAATCTTTGGTTAGAAGATAGAAAACAAATTTGTGCCCAGGCTTGTTAAGATTTGCGAATGATCTAAATCGATCGCAATGATACAATCAATATCAAAGGCACAATGCCTTGTTCGTAATCTGGAAGGTTTTGATTGAAATATTATGAACCAAAGTCCTACAAGTTTCGATCGATTTGAATCAATCACAAATCATGAAACGTTAGGGTCCGTTTTTTCTTTCTTTAAATCGTCTGAAACCCAATTGCATTTAAACATGGTCAATTCCTTTCTTTAACACAGGCTGCAGGGAGAGAACTGGGAAAAGCGGCAAGGGCCTGTGACGACATCTTAGGATCAGCTTACCGGAGTTGCGATCGGAACTTGAATAATGTCTACATCGACTGCCAAACATTTATGAGAGATAAAAGGGTCCCAACCTCCGTTGGTAAGTTATCTTGATTCAGTTGAAGATGCCACAAGTTAAATACGGCAAATGTACGGATTTATGTCTTATCCAAAGGATTTGATAATGACGATCACTGCCTTACCAAGGGACTTAATCGTGCGTTGACTTGATTTCGAACCCAGGATCTCCCGGATATTAGGACACTGATCCAGAGGCGGCGCTCCCGCGGGCAAGGAGGGGAGGGGTCACAGTGTCCCTATTTTTCGAGTACCCCAAAAGTGCTCCTTTTTACATAGGGAAAAGTGCCCCTTTTACTTTGACAGGTGTCCCTATTAATTTGTGAAAGTGCCCCTTCCTCTTTTCACCTTCGACAAGTTCCCATTTTCCTTTGCAATAAGTGTCCATTCTCCATGCTCATAAGTGCCCCTTTTATCTCTGGTAAATGATTCTTTTTAGATACGAGAAGATGCTTATTTTCACTTCAGATAAGTGCCTCCTTCAACTCCAATAAGTTGTTTCTATTAAAATCTGAGAGATACTCATTTTACTTTGACAAGTGCCCCTTACCCTCCTGATAAATACTCTTTTTATTTCTGATGAGTGTCCCTTTTGACCTCTAATAACTGTCCCTTTTATTTTGACACGTGCCCCTTTTCCTTTCTCATAAGTGCCTTTTCCCATCCCTGGTGCGTGCCTCTTTTAGGTGTAAGGAGTGCCCAATTATCACCTCTGATAATCACCCTTTGTACTTTGACACGTGCTCCTTTTCTTTTCTAATAAGTGTCTTATACCTTTCGATAAGTATCCCCTTTTCTCCTCGTCATTAAACATGTTCCTAATTTTAAGCGACTAAGAGCACTTAACCCCAAAGCTCGCTCGCATTTTTAGATGATATAATTTAGTTACATATCAAAGGTTTTTTCATTCTTCCGTTATAAGAATGTGCTTATAACCTCGCGAGGATTGGGTTTTTTCCTCTTTATAAGATGTAATTTTTCGCACTGTGACCTCACAAATCTTTAAATTGTTCCTCGCTCAGTTCACTCGTTCGCAAATAAATTTCAGACCTTGACATCCAACTACAAAGTCTGATGCTTAAGCAATATTTTGTATGATGTATAAAAAGAAATAAATATTGAAATCATTCCTGATTATTTAATCACAATGTAGGGGTATATACCAAGGTCTAAAAAATTGGATATTTTCGCGTTGAGATTTCCCTGTGTAGTTGCCCTTTTTCCCAAAAGTGCCCCTTTTCGTTGGTGCCCCCCTCCCCACTTTGGAAGTCGCCCCGTCGCCCCTGCACTGATCTACCACTGATTGATACTCATAGTGTTGCACGATAGTCACTAGTAGAAAATTGGACTTATGAACTGACGCGCGACACAGGACACAAAATATATAATTGAATAGTGCGGATGCATCGTTAATTTTACTCGTATCTAAATGTATGCATGCTGTTCTACTATAGCCCACTTGACCGAAGATATACCAGATAGGTTCACGACACTGGAGAGACTGAAGAGACGGTCCCAGAATTCTTTCTAATATTAATCTCACAAGAGCTTCGACCTCGTTGACCTGCGGTCTTGCGCGCGCTCAATCAACTGTGATGATAAAGATTGAACAAAAAAAAAACTAAATACAATTTCTTTTCTTCTACAGGTCACGGTTTTGTAGAAAAATATGTTTTAATCCTTTAAATCCGGAATTTGTTCTCCATTTTTAAAGCTAAAAATTGCAATAGCAAGAATCGAAGATATTGAAGTTTGAAAAACAAGTTTAATTATTTGTAACGATTTAATTTGTTTATCTCTTGTCTTTTTCAGGTCAAGTGTGTGAGATTTTTAACGCAGACGCCGTATGTAGTCTTCTGAAAATTAACAGTATCTGTGCCACACCGGCCTATCTGGACAATGCCGTAAACAACGCCCTCTTGAACACGCGCACTGCAATGCAGAGCGTAGTGGACACCTTTTCGGCCGATGTCGATTTCTCGCGTTATTTCGAGAAGCGTTCAAACTCGAGCACGACCGCTGAGCACATCCAAGAGGCCATCTCTGCAGAGCTGGACGAAGCTTACAGCTACGTCGACTGGATCCTATCCTTCTCTGACAAACTCCTAGCACTGTCCTTCGTCTGGGTGCTCTTTAAGTCATACATGTACCACTCCAACTACCGCACCAAGGACTCATACGACAACCAGTACATCACTGCACAGTTTAAGAAGCTAGATGCCAACCGCAGTGAAAATGGACAACATCACCTTCTACCACTGAAAAAGAACGAACGGAACCGACTCATTGACGTGACTGCTGTTCGTCTATGCAAATCGGAGAAGGGCTACTTCAAATTTGGGCTTTCGACTGTCTGTCTACATTCCATCATTGCTGGGCTTCTGATGTTCATTGACTTTGGACTTTACTGGTTGCTTAGCAAGATTCGAGAGCACGGTGATGTCCAGATTGCCACATCAGGAGAGGCCGGCACTGATGTTGAAATCGGAGGAAATGGTGTTGTGGCTGATCTTGTAAGGATTCTCTTCAACGAAGGCTTCAAGGCCACGTCTGCTTTCAACACCTCACTCGACACCACCGTCTGCCTACCACAGCCCATTATACCTGACAAAAACTTGTCTATCATCATCAGCGTCCTCTACTTTGTCACTATCTTGATGACGCTCTCGCAGGCCTACGCCCAACGTCTTCTCCGTTACATTGCCGCGTACTACTACCCAGAGCGAGAGGTAGAACGCATTGCTTACCTCTATGGTCGCACCTTGCAGAAAAGACAGTCCCTGATGAAAATGCTTTGCCAATCCGTTAGACGGAACAAGAAAGAAAAGGACGCTTACAACAAAATCAGTATATCTTCTTATTTGACAATGAAGTTCCCTTGCTGTAAGTGTCTCTTCACCTGTTGCGGTTTAAAACAAACGCAATGCTTAGGTTGTAGTAGCCCGGATGATGGTCTCTTGGTATACTGCTCTGACCAAGACTGTGACGGGGTTTATTGTGAGGAATGCGCCAGAGCATTGCAAGGAAAATGCTCGCTGTGTGATTGTACCATCAACTTGGGAAAAGTACCATTGGACGAAGAACAAAAGATGTAGGCCTAGAGCTTGTCACCTTGTTTGTTCTTAAATCATACCACAATGACAAGGCCTTCAGCTTTCCATATTGGTTTGAACGTGCTACCAGTAATTGATCCAAAAAAATTGATCAAAATCACGAATTTTGAAGCCTCGTTCACACGTGGTAAATTGCCTTTAAAATTACCAGGTCATTTCATGCGAATACCAGTCGAACATATGGCGTCAATTCGACTGCATTATCACCTAAAGCTTATCAAATAATGACGGAGATGACTACACTCCCCCAGTAATCAACGCAATGCTCATTTTTCATCCTTTCTTGCTCGTTTTGTACGTTGTCTTTCTCACATGGCGCGTCACAAAGACCACACCCGGGGCCCGTTTCATAAAACTTTTTTCAATAACAAATGCTTAATTTCTATGATAAACTTGCTCTCAGCCAATCAGATGCCATGGTTTCAGTAGCTTATAACAGTAGCTTGTAACTTGTTATTGATATCAAGTTATATGAAACAGGGCCCAGTCTCCTACGTCAATCAAAATAACGCCTCGTGTGCAACGGACTCATTGGATGCTTCATACGTATTCTGTAAATCTCCCCCATTATGCGAGTATGACCAGCCCTTTCAGCTCTATCTAGCCATTAATAAACTCTTTTAAATTAATTTTCATTTACACACCATTTAATTTAGCTGACGACCGGCGCAGCTAGATAGTCTATGGAAATTTGCTTAAAATTAATAGTGGTGGTTCTTTTTAAATTCATTAAATCTAAATAAACTGTGTCTGATTTGTCGACTACCTGATATCTTTTACCTATTTTATCGAAATCTTCAAAGTTAAGATAGTTGAGGCTGCCCCATTAATGCAATGCATTACTCAAAACATTGTGGACTATCTGCATTTTGTTTTTAATATTTTTCATTCGAATGTATAGTGTTTGTAGAATATTAATTTATTCACTTATGATACATGTAATTGTGTCGCATAAAGGCTTCTTGTGATGTATTTGTTTTTATTCTTTTTCATTTTCTCGTAAGTTAATCAAAAGGTAATAAAAATGCATGTAACCATGGTAACCAAATGAAATGAATAAAGTTTTTTTTATCAACAATCGTTTCAATCACCGAGATACATATGTACAAGTCTATACTTAGTATTAATCCAGTATACCTTCGAACTATTGGTTATTTAAATGAGCCAGATTCTTGCCAGTATGAAATAGAAATGAAATAAAATGACATTTTATTCGCGATTTAGATAACTAGAAACGGGTATGATGCAGTAAAGCTGATATGCAATTAGTGATAATTCTTTATTTATAGCAATTTCTTTTTTCAGGTGCGTAAATTTAATCAAAGTCCGTGATTATTTATCATTCATTTTCACCAAAAAACGGTGTTCTATCAAACATAACCCATAAGCTTAATATGAAGCTCAAGAAGAAGAAAGAAGACAGTCAGGCTTTTCTTAGTCGATAATTACGAGATGATGTCTATAATTACAATTTCGACGTACCAGAAGGATTAAAAGAGTACGCTGTGCATTCTTGTTTCGTTTTATTTCCATGAATTATGCAGCATGTTAATACTGTTAATATATTTTGTATATGTTTACATAATTGCCTAATGATCAGATTCCGAATAGACTGCCACTGAGGGATGTTTAGTATATTATATCGAATAGTATATTGAATGGTTTATTTTGAATTATATATATGACATTGTAAATAAGAGATTGTGAAACTCGCCGTTATTGTGGAAAACGTAATAAATGCTATAGCTGTAATTATAATGTTCACGGTGTTTTATTTCGGCGTACATCTTTATTTTCAGTATAGATATTAATTTGTTTGATTCAAGACAGATTGTTTTCCCTCATATTGATATTCTTTTTAACTTACAACAATATCAGATATCATCATTATAATCATTATCAAACAACGAAGATATTTAATTAAGGTCCCGTTACAATACAAAGATAAGATAATGAAGACAATGTCAAATTTAAAGTAGAAATAGGGCATGCAATTGTCATGTTCTGTGGTAATATTTATTATATTCTTAAGTGATAAAGCATCATCATATATTGTTGTTATATACAAATATAAATACAGAATGCTAGCACCCCCTGCAAACATGATAATCTTGATCTAAAATAAGAATAATATCTGAAATATCTAAACGAAACCCCGCTTATAAAGGGGCTGACTAAACTATGTGCGAAACATTTAGTGCGACCTGATAACTCTACCCCAGTAACTGAGGCCTACTAAAAAGAAAACTAAAACATAAACAAATGCGATCCCGAACCTCGACTAACCATTCAACAAGGTATTTACTGACAATAGATGGCGCCAGTAACTAAGTTAAATAATACTACACCCAACGCTTAATTGATATATGATTCATGCAAATTCCCAAGTATAATCTTATAATATCTTAATTTGAAATAACACAGTGCAGATTTATAATATGCAGTACAGTACTATATATTTAAAACAACTCTATCAATAATAAGTAGGCTTGTAACGAAATATCATGTATTTTTACTCTCAAATATTATTGACAATATTTTATATAATGTAAAATTACTTTGTAAATACTTTATTACCGTGTACAGTGACCGTCTCATTCTGAGCTGCTGGCTACTCTTTATATACCAAAACAAATTTTAAAAGATGAAAATCAAAATATAAAAACAAAAATAAAAATGAATTTTAATCAATCAAACTTAATTAATAGCGTCTTTAGACCATTTACCAAAATTGATAATTTACCACTTGAAGTGAAAAACAAAACACACATTCGACTCATTCAAATCTACCATAATGCAAAGAAATCTTTAACTTTTTATTTTGATTACGTGAATTTCAATTCTCTGTAGGCTATGTTTATTCTGACTTGCTAGTTTCCTGTAATCGATTTGATCGTATGATTGTTTTTACTCGCAGGGCCCCATGGGAGATCAACTGGTGTTGAATTGGCTATCCTGTTAATAAAAATAAATATATAAATAATAAATTCAATGGTAGGATCCAGGCAGTTTCTCGATCTTAGTAACTTTCGTTTTGGCTAATTTACAACACAGTTTGAAATTTAATCCTACCAAATTCAAATAGAAACGCCATACATCGGGCCATAGTGATTGGTAAATTATGCGCTATCAATTGATAATTTGAGCAACAGCAGAATTAATGCAAAACCAAAAAATGATCCAAAACATATTTCGGTTTAAACTAGAAACTTGGTATTTGTCATTATGTTCTGTGGTCATTCATCTAAGACTTAAGTTATTCACATTTTGATATCTTTGCTAGCATGCCTTGTTTCTTGATATTTGTATGATGTATATCATGTTTGAAGCTAATTATGTATTAATGAAACAAATACCCCCAAAACTGAAAACTAATCATGTAAATGCAAAAATGATAACTAAAATCTAACATACATGTCCACTCAGTGAACATACTGTGCCTAAAATCAGATCTCAAATATCAATCATTAGGTCTATGGCATGTTTTGTGATGCTTTGGATGTTTTTATCTATAATGCTAATTAGCAATTGTTATTTCAAATTGCACAGCTCATTATCCGTCCTGGGGCATGTCTTTTCTATTCTTATATAGTTTGATTGGGTTTGGGTTTGATTTTAAAACAAGGCTGTAAAAAAAAAAACTCCATAAAAAAAATTAAAACAAATAAAATAATTAAAATATAAACAATTTAGGTAGAGGGCAATGCCTGGATCCTCTCCTTAAACTTTGGGTGTCAGACCAAGTTATTTGCCGAAAATTCTTAGCTCAAACTTTCCAACACCCCCCCCCCCCCCTTTTTCCCCCCCCCCCCCCCCTCCCCCTGCAAAACATTCTTCAGATTTTTGAAAAATATTTTGAATGGGGATATCACATCCACAACATTGGATCCCTCTAGCGATGTGAGAGAGTGAAGGCAGGCCTTTATAATAGGGGATTCAAATAAAAATTCAATAAGTTCAGACGGAACAACAGAAGGGTTTTCAACTGCGATGAAATGCGTAGGAATGGAGCAGAAAATAGAATATCCAACAAGAGTAACTAGTGAGTCTGTAACAGTATTAGACATTAAATACACTATTATGATATTACGAAAAGTATGATAATCACTCGGGTGTTAACATGGCATATTCCATTTTGCATAATTTGTTTAATAATGGTTGTAATAAACATGCACCAATCAAAGAGAAAAGAAGCTGCAAAGGTCGCGCTTATAAAAAACCTTGGATAATCAAATCAATAATGAAGTCTGTTCGGAAAAAATATAAATCGTTTTAAAAGTAAGAAAATCTAATTTTTATGCAAGTGATGTACAAAAATATCGGAGCTACAGAAACGTATTAACGACTGTTCTTCGCAATGCCAAGAGAAATTATTAAAGTGATATGTTAGCTGAGAACAGCAATAACACTGGTAAAATATGGAACATCATAAATGAATTACTAAATGGGAGAAATAATGGTAACAAAGGTACTCAGGTAAAAAAAAAAAAAAAAAGGTTATAAGGAGTATTAATAGAAATGATGAGGTTCTAAAAACTGATTCTGAAATTACCAATGAATTTAATGATTTCTTTGTAAACATCGGTCCAAATCTAGCATCAGCAATACCAAATGTACCCACATTATCTGAAGATTATTTGAATAATTGTGTTGAGCAATCCCTGTTTTGGAAACCGTCTGAAGCCTGTCTTCAATATCTCGAGATTGCCAAATATCCAGCTATTTGAACTATCCCGATCGCAAACTATCCAGCTAATTTGCGTCTTCATCAGACCGAAGTAGCAATTAGCGGGATATTTGGTCGGGATTGTCATCCCAAGATATCTTGGGATAGTTTGCAAAATATCCCACTATTTGGCAAAATATCGAGCTATTTGTCCTGTGCGTCTTCACCAGACCGAAGACTCGCACTATGCGCTAACGCTGAGCAAAATATCTCGAGCTAATTTCTCAAGGTCGAGTTTCAAGTTTCGAGGTCGAATCTTGAGCTGATGAAGACGCGATTTGTAACTTCGGGATTATTTCCCAAATCAGAAACAGCGGGCTATTTGGCAATCTCAAGATGATGAAGACATTTTAAAGTAAGCGATGCTTGTACATTTCCTCGTAAAACGGCAAACCTGCGTCAGCCAAGTCAAGGACGTCAGGGGTTAATGTATCACGTGACGGCAATTCTTTAGGGGGAGAGAAGCCTGTGGTTGAAAGCATCTGATCTAGGTAGCCTGTATTCTGCCTGAAGTCACAACCCCACTTCCATGATAAAATATCGTCAAGAGACGGTTTCCATTCAAGTATGTTGGTAGTGAAAGGCAGTCCCACCGCCTTGCAATACTTGGGGAGCATCACGGAATTATTCATCAACAAATCAGAAGAATCAAGAATAACTGGTTCCGGGTCGATGTTTTCTTTGACGTAAATCCAGAGCTCATACAGACTTCTGTAGTAGTCGGCTGGGTCGTTCAGTTCTATGTGGCTCCGTAAATCAAATGCTGCTTCGTCGGTTTCGTCGGCGTGTAGTAGGTTTTATGCTTTTCAAATGACTAAAACTAACTTTGTGTAGTGATGAGAACATCAAGATGGGATGACGGATCAGAAAAGAATGGCAATAACCTGTCGGAATGAATTCTCTTAGGTCACTGCGTTGCATGTAGTAACTCCTTGGCTAAACCAATATCTTTCACGAACACATGCTCTGCAGTGGATGCTTCCAGCACGCTCCTGACGGTCTCGTATCTATGGATCAAGAATTAGTACAAAACACAATGATTTGTTTACTTGTTTGCTTTGGAAAAAATTAGACGAAGGATATGTTACGCTTGGTGTGTTTCTTGACTTTCAAAAGGATTTTGACACAATAAACCATAACATATTATTTTAAAAGCTATCCCATTATGGCATCCGAGGACATGCACTGAAATGGCTCGAAAGCTATCTTAGTGACAGAATGCAGTTTGTGAAATACAAAGAGTCATCGTCAGAAATTAGATATATCAAATGTGGTGTACCACAAGGTTCTGTCTTAGGACCAACTTTTTAATCTATATAAATTGTGAACTGTGACAAATTATTTCAACTTCAGACTATTTGCAGATTATTCTAATATTTTTCATACTTTTCCCGAAGGTGTAGATCAAATAGATGAGTCTGAAGTAAATGCAAATTTAAAATCAATACAGAATTGATGCACTGCAAACAAGCTTACTATCAAGTATCAATGCGTCAAAAACCAATTTTTCATGTTCTTTAGCAGCCGTAGGAGAAAGGCCATGCTTAGAGGGAGATTAAAAATATCTGAGGCAGAATTAAGAGAAGTGGAGGAAGCGACATTTGTTGGCATCACCATTGACAGACATTTAACATGGAATTCTCACATCAAATCTGTTAATGACTGTATATGAAGAAAGGTCGGTATCCTCTTTAAACTACGGCACTTTGTCCCTAAATATATATTGATACTGTTCTGTAAAAGCTCTGATACAGCCACATATTATATATGGCATAGAGGTTTGGGGTAGTACTTATAAATCACACTTGAATTATATATTTTATACTCAAAAGATGGCTGTACGAGTTATAACTTTCAAGCCACATCGTTCTCATACTATTGCACTGTTTCATGACCTCAAATTGTTGAATGTTTTTAAATTGCATAAGTTATCTATTTGTACTTTTGTGTTTGATTTGATAATGAACGACTACCTCATTCCTTAAAACATTATTGCAGTATGATACAACATGAATATTCCACAAGACAAAAAACGGGTCGACAACTACGTCTTCCTTTATTCAAAACAGACCAAGGAAAGTTTTCTGTTTCGTTTGTTGGAAGTAATTTTTGGAATATGCTTCCTACTGATCTAAGAATTGAGAGATCAAGAACCTCTTTTCGTTAAAAAATTAAAAAATTACTCTTAGGTGAAAACCATGAATTATAAGCATGTAATTATATACCGTAGATATACATAGCAACCAGTCTCGTTTTTTTTTTTAATTGTAATATTATACACAAATCTTATATATATAGGATTTGGAAACACATTGTGTATTTTTTGCTGGAACAAGCACTTCATAAACTTTTTTTTAATTTTTCGTTATTTTGCAAAGTATTATTATAGCCAAGACGTAAAGTGCGCCAGCGCGCGAGCGATTAAAAAGTGCAATCATGTACAGTAGATGCCCGGCTCCCCCCCCCTCATCAGTGTTATTTAGGGTACGCGTATGCTCGTTCCCTCCCTTTGAAAGCACCCCCCCCCCCCCACCCACCCTATCTCAGGACTGCCAACATTTCTGAATCCCCCTTTCACCGGCTTTTCGCTGGCTTGTCCTGCCTTGGAGACCCCCCCCCCCCCCGAAAAAAAAAATCCGGAACACTGCTTAATGTACCCACACCCCCCCCCCCCCCCCCCAAGCTCTAGTCGATCGAGGGGGACTGGGGGCCAATGTTTTTACTTTTCAAAATGAAATAATCCTGAATGAGCTTTCAAAGCTAGCAGGAATTTCAGGAATTTGATCCCGGGATTTGATCAATTTTTCTAGGATATTCAAGATATTTTATAACCTCCTTTTTACATTTCTCAGGAGTCCAAAGAGAGAGAGGAAAAAAACCCACCCCTTTTTTAAAGAATTAAGAGTCGAGAACGGTACAACGAATCGTCTTCTTTCTCTAATGATTTAATGAAACGTAAAAGCTTCTGCGCTTCGCGCGGGAGGGGGGGGACAGAATTCAGACGAGGATTAAGAGTCGAGAACGGTACAACGAATCGTCTTCTTTCTCGAATGATTTAATGAAACGTAAAAGCTTCCGCGCTTCGCGCGGGAGGGGGGGACTGAATTCAGACGAGGATTATTTTCGAGAACGGTACAACGAATCGTCTTCTTTCTCTAATGATTTAATGAAACGTAAAAGCTTCTGCGCTTCGCGCAGGAGGGGGGGAAGAGAAAAACTGAATTCAGATGAGGATTAAAAGTCGAGAACGGTACAACGAATCGTCTTCTTTCTCTAATGATTTAATGAAACGTAAAAGCTTCCGCGCTTCAAGCGGGAGGGGGGGGGGACTGAATTCAGACGAGGATTATTTTCGAGAACGGCGGTACAACGAATCGTCTTCTTTCTCTAATAATTTAATGAAACTTCAAAGCTTCGGCGCTTTGAGGAGGAGGGAGGGGGAAATCGCCCTCTCTGCCCCCCCCCCCCCACATTACGCCAATGTTGGTCACCATTATGTACCAATATTTGGCTCGCATAATTTCAAATTTGACCCCCCCCCCCCTAAGAAATCCTGGATCCGCGCCTGTCCTAGGCTTTCCAGAAAGGACTCAGAATTGTCTATTTTTGGTCATAGATAAATGTTTTTTAAGTTAATTCTCCTTTAAGAGAAAACCAGGAATATGACTTACCAATGCGCTTCTCCTCCCAATGAAACATTTTGTTGATGTTCCTGTGGCAGTACCATTATACATCATTTTCTAAGTGATGGGAATCAAAATACGAGTTCGCAATCTTCCTGACGAAATACTCAATCTTATGTTATCTAACTTGAAAGTGTGTCGTCTTATTTCGGAGTTCATTAATAAAACACTACAGTTGCAGCTGTCAGTATTTCGAAAATAAGTCCAGTTCTTTTACTTTATGGTTGTCTAAATTTGGCATGTGCGTGCATGTATGTATGCATGTCTAAATTTATGTACATGTGTTTTGGGTATGTGTGTGTTTGTTGTTTGTTCGTGTGTGTGTGTGTCGTGTGTGTGTGTGTGTGTGTGTGTGTGTGTTGTGTGTTTGTGCGTGCGAGATCGCGCGCTGCTTGCGTAAATTAGTGTGGGCGTGTGCTCGTGCTAGTATGTGATGACTATCGCCGATTATCCCCCCCCCCCCAACTCCTCGGTACGGATTTACGCCTCTGATTCATACTCATAGTTGTTTGCTACACCATCGATAGTAGTTAGCTAACTATGACTCCTACTTACGATAGTCCTTCGGCTCTATACCGTCTTGACATCACCTTTCCAATACCTCAGCAGCCCTGTCAAAGATGGCTTTGTTTCCTTCATACGATGTCGGTAGATCGACACCGTCGTTCAACTTGATGTTGAGCATGGCGTGATGGGCGTGTTCGAATGGCTCGTACCATACCTCGATCTCGGGTATCTGGCCCATCGAACGAGTGAAAGCCGTGGATCACATCTATGCGAGGTCCATAGCATTACTCGGCTAGATCGTAGTGAGCTGGTCTGGGACATTCTGGTCAATGATTCGC